CCCCCCCCCCTCTCCCCCCCCTTCCTGGTAAATAGGTCATATTTATAACAAATGTTTCATGAAATAATACTTTACTATGTATGCTGCATTATGTTGTCTGTATTATTTCATTAAAAAATGTTGGTCATTTGTAGTTTGTGAAATGCTGGGTTAGAGAAAGTCAAGACTGTAGACAAGGAGACCAGTTGCAGGAAACAAATGCAGTTGCCCAGTGAGTGATGTAACTGTTCTTTTAATATTGGTGCTATTTTGAAGATGGGGAGGAAGGGATGGGTTTAAGATTTAGGATGTAGATTTCAGAGAACTTGAAGGAGAGTGGAGGGGAGGGGAACTAAGGGTGACCTCCAAGTACTGTATCTGACTTCTGTAACAGGCTAATTTGTGGTCCTATTAACTTTATCTGCATGTAAAGGAGAAGGAGTGAGTTGGGGGTGCTGTCAGTCCTCACTAATTGGATCTCCTGATTTTCTGCAGAAGAGGGAGTGAATTAATACTTGGGCTGTACTTGTGCATGTGTGTAAATGTTCTCTGTATACCTGGCACAGGACACCAATTAACAAAATGTTCAAAATCTAAACTTGTGTCAAAATCTATTGTTTGAGATTTTGGAATTCTTTTATGAACTTGATATTTAAAATGTATATATATAGTTATCCTAGGAGAAGTGAGATAGGGAAATGGATATTCAGTATCTTTAAATTTTGTGTTATTTATCTTCCTGGGCATATTTCTTATACTGATTGAAATCTGCAAATCTGCATATAGGCAGAACTCAGCATGCTATTCACACTCTGATGGGGAATGGTTTACCGGTTGTGTTGCTGTAGGAGCTCCCCTTTTCTGCCTGTTATAACTACCTAGAGTTTCTCTCCTCGCTCCAGGGATGATCCGAGTGTAGGTCAGTGGTGGGTGGGTGGGAGGCTAGAGCTGCCTTGTCCCCCATCCCCCTTATCATTCTTTTAGCCTCAGTGCTGTCAAAAGCACCTTCAAACCTCTTTCCTCACCTCAGAACTCTCCCACTGTCCATTGCTCTTAGGTCTCACCACACCCTTCCTTCCCATGCCTTATCTTGCTGCTGCTGGAGGAAAGAGGCTTTTTGTGAAGGTCTGGGTGTTCCTTTAAATGCAGGTGAATTTTACTGCATTTTGTGCCTTTTGCCGGTATCTCTAGCACCTAATTGAATGATTTGCTAATTGAAATTTGCTGGTTACTGAGTGAGGTTACTTATGAGATTATGTAAATGATGTGAAGTCAGAGTAAAGTTGGAGAACTACTGATCTCAGTGAAAAATGATATTGGGTGGAAATGTTGGTAGAGAATACATTTGTTGAGTTTCTGCTTTGTGAGACTGGCCAAATATTTTCTCTCATTGATCCACATAAGCCACAAATAGGTATTGTTAACCCCATTTTGCAGGTGAAGAAATAAAGGCTTAAAGAAATGGAAGTACATGCTAGACAGTGACTGAGCAAAGAGCTCAGCCCAGGATTTTGTTTGACTCCAGATCTCGTATCTATTGATATTTCATCACCTTCTATTGCCTCCCTTTTTGTTTGCTGTGATTACTTCTAGTTAAAAGAAATTCCCCAGAACCCAGGACACATCATTTTATGCTTACTTCAGGATTAAGAGGGGTACAACTGATACAGTCCTGTGATGTGTTGTGAAAGAAACCTTTTGAAGCCAGAAGTAGTGGTATTGGAAAGAGAAGTAGGCTGTCCTTTCTCTGGGGCCATCAGAAGGACTGAAGACCATTTTATTAGCAGGAAATGTCAGTTCCTCACCTCTTGCTTCTCCTCCTTCACCCTGTTCTCAGGCTTCAGGATTATGATAGGAAGCCTGAAGCTAGAGAGAGAACACATTCTCAGCGTCAGAGCTGCAGGAGGGAGACCTCTCTTTCAACTGCACTGGAACCCTCTTCCTAGTTTTTTAGGAAATGATGCACGCACTCTTTAGGTTCTGTAGACTTGTCATCACAGTGCCATGCTTCATGTGTGTTATAGGAACCTAGCCATTGCATACCATTGAATCTTTACATTTATGGAGGAAGGTATTTTAAATTCTGCACTGATCCCCAAAATGAATTTTTTGGCTCATTGCTGATTTGTACTTTGAGGATTTTCTATACTTGCTGTGTTTGATATAAGGAAATTAGATAGAGAAGATGGAACTGTAGAAAAAGTCTCAGAACCAAGTGGATCATCCTCTCACTCCCTTGTGACTGAATCTAATATTTTCTCTGAAGCCTGATTTGCTGCAGAAGTAGTAACTTAATAAAGTCATGAAAGTAGTGGTGTTTAACAAGAAATATCAAATGTGTATATAATTTTTTTGTGAAAGAAATGATTTTAAAAATGCTAATAAAAATTTTGTGGAAAGTATAAATTATATGGCACTCAAATGCAGTGGTAAATAAATTGTTGGTTTTCATATATTTGGGATGGTATCTCATGTTATGGTGTTTGAGGGGACATAGGTAAATAAGAGGAGTTTATGACCTAAGGTACCCAGATTCTTACATTGCAATTTAGACAATGGTTGAGAATGTTCAAGGTTTTCTTATACTAAAATGTTATATACATGTAATCCATATGCAGTACATTAAATTTTGAAAGTATGCTTAAATTTCTAATGTTTATATAAATTGTGGCTTGAATTTATTTATGTTACATGTCCCTTACTGAATCATCAATTCTACTTTTGCTACTGTCTGCTGGTCATTTCTGTCTAGTTATCTTATTGGCATTTCAAATTTAGTGTGTTCAGTATTGACCCAATCATATTTTTCCCCTAAATCCAGTTCTTTTATATTCTGCATTTCTATTTAATGTTGTCATCATCTTTCAAGTCTCAAGCATTAAAGCTTAGTGTCACCTTTAACTTCTCCTATCATTGTGAAGTCTGTAATGACTCTCACTTCTCAACTTTTTATTCTCTGTCCTTACAAGGGCTATTTTTAGATCTTGACCAGTAGTTCTTCAACCTTGCTGATCATCAAAATCATTTTTTGAAAAAAAATACAGATTCCAGCTTCCCTCATACCTCCATCATCACATATAGATTTTGATTCAGAAGGTCTAGGTGTGGCCCTTGGATCCATTTGTTGTCAGCCTCCTGATGATTCAGGTGGTTTGGGGAAACACTGACCTAGACCAATACCTTCTTCACTCGCTTCTACTGACAGGCTGTTCCTTTCTTGCCCCTTCACATCTGCCCTCCAGGCTATGTATCCTGCCTGACTTGGAGCCTCCTAGATTTGAACTCTGGCATTATAACTCTGAGTGTGACTTTTGACACTTTTTTGTACCTCTCTTTGTGGATTATTCGGGGATCTCTATGATATGGTCCTAGCTGACTTTTCAACCATATTTTCTGTTGCTTTCTTTATATTTTTCCGCCATTGGTTCCGTTGCTTCTGATTTTCCCTTTATGTGATGACATGTTTATTCTTCAAGACAGTTCAAGCACTACTTATCAGATGATCCCATTTACTTCAGTTCCCTAAAGTAGTCTTTTCCTCAGAAATATCTTAATTTCTTATCAGGATCTTTTTAACTTATTTTATTTTTTAAATTTATTATTATTATTATTTTGGCCGTGCTGCACAGCTTGCAGGCTCTCAGTTCCCCGACCAGGTATTAAACCTGGGCCATGGCAGTGAAAACACCAAACCCTAATCACTAGACCACCAGGGAACTCCCTCAGCATCTCTTTTTGATACTAATGATAATTAAGAACTAATATTTACTGAACATATATCAGATAGTGCCCTAAACACTTTGCAATGGTTATTATTTAATTTAAACCTCACAATAACCCCAGGTGAGATACTATTAATTTGCATGTTTACTAATAAGGAATCAGAGACACAGAGAAATGGCTCTTCACAAAGTCATACAGGAATCCAGTAGGAGAGCCAGGATTTGTATCTAGGTAATCTGATTTCAGAGCATGTACTCTCATCCATTAGGCCATACCAATTCTTTTAGGGTCTGGTCACTTTCTCTTCTATGCCAAATGTATTATCTCCCATTGCCTGAGTGGGGAAGGAGTGATTAATCGTTGTTTAATCCACAGAACCTGTCATAATGCCTTACATGCATATATGCTGCTATAGGTATTTTCTCTTTGAAGGTATGCATGCACATACATTAATTTTTTTTTTTTTTTACAGTTTTCAAACAGAAGACTATTACCAATTGGATGGACACGAAAGGACTCAAGACAGCTGAATCAGAAAGGTAAAGAGCCATGCCTATATAGAGAAATGAATAACATGATATATGGATGTTTTATTGTGCTTCATGCTGTTTTCTCTTCTTTTTGCTTTCCCATTTTTCTTTATCTACATTTCATTTAATAAATAATAATTTTTTAGAGTCTCCTATGTGCCAGGGATGGTCCAATATACTTGAGATACAGAGATGAAAGAGGAATAGTCTCTGTCTTTAAGATACTTATAGTGTAGTGATGCTGACAGACACCAAAACACGTGATGATTACATGGTGTGATCAATGCAACAGTAAAGATTTAAACAACGTACAGTGGTGGTTAGCATATAAAACAGACAATCAGGGCTTCCCTGGTGGCGCAGTGGTTGAGAGTCCGCCTGCTGATGCAGGGTACACGGGTTCGTGCCCCAGTCTGGGAAGATCCCACATGCTGCGGAGCAGCTGGGCCCGTGAGCCATGGCCGCTGAGCCTGCGCATCCAGAGCCTGTGCTCCACAACGGGAGAGGCCACAACAGTGAGAGGCCCGCGTATCGCAAAAAAAAAAAAAAAAAAAAGACAATCAGCTTTACCTTTACGGGAAAGACTGCACAGGAGGTGAGTGAAGTTTAACACTACACTGTGGCAGGTGTTTGCCAGGCACACAATTGGGGAAAGGGCATTATAGGCATATGTGTAAAGACATGGACCCATGAAAGAGCATGCTGTATGCTCAGGTAATCACAGGTAGTTTAATTAATGCTGTGACATTGTAGGAGTGTGTTCAGGTAAATGATTTTTTTGCATCATAAATTCTTTCTGCTGTATCATAAGTTCTGTTGTATCATTCTTTCTATTCTTTTGTAGTTTGCATAGTAAAGAAAACAACAATACAAGAGAAGAATCCATGATGAGTTCTGTACAGAAAGATAACTTTTATCAACATAACATGGAAAAATTAGAAAATGTTTCTCAGCTAGGTTTTGATAAATCACCAGTTGAAAAAAGTACACAGTATTTGAACCAGCATCAGACTGCAGCTATCTGTAAGTGGCAAAAGGAAGGGAAACATTCAGAGCGGCTTTTGGAAAGTGAACCTCCAATAGTAACTCTGGTACCAGAGCAGTTCAGTAATGCTAACATTGATCAGTCACCCCAAAATGATGATCACAGTGACACAAATAGTGAGGAGAGTAGAGATAATCAACAATTTTTGACACCTATAAAGCTTGCGAATGCAAAACAGACAACAGAAGATGAACAGGGTGTAGAAGCCAGAAGCCACCAGAAGTGCAGCAAGGCTTGCCATCCCGCCGAAGAGTGTGCAGGGTGTCAGCAGGAAGAGACAGACGTGGTGCCAGAGAGCCCCTTGTCAGATATCAGCTCTGAGGATGTTGGTACTGGACTGAAAAATGCCAACAAATTGAGTAGACAAGAAAGTAGCCTAGGAAATTCTCCTGCATTTGAGAAAGAAAGTGAACCCGAGTCACCAATGGATGTAGATAATTCCAAAAATAGTTGTCAGGACTCAGAAGCAGATGAAGAGACAAGTCCAGGTTTTGATGAACAGGAAGATAGTTCCGCCCAAACAGCAAATAAACCTTCAAGGTTCCAAGTAAGAGAAGCTGACACTGAATTGAGGAAACGGTCCTCTGCTAAGGGAGGTGAGATTCGATTACATTTCCAATTTGAAGGAGAGAGTCGCGCTGGAATGAATGATTTAAATGTCAAACTACCTGGAAGCACTTCTAGCCTGAATGTAGAGGGCAGAAATTCTAAGCAACATGGGAAAAAGGATTCTAAAATCACAGATCATTTCATGAGAATGCCGAAAGCAGAGGACAGAAGGTAATTTTTGCCATCAAGAGTATCTTCAGTAGTGTAACATGTTTTATAATTTTGTAAGGGGGGGGGTTTAACAAAGTTATGGTTTACACTGAAGCAAAGAAATAATTGTCTTTCTTGTTAACTATTTATGCTAAATTTAAACCTAGGTTCAAAATGTTAAATTCTAAAAATCCCAGAAACAGAAAACAAGAAGTAAATAAATAATCAGACTTTAGTTTCATGAACTTCCTTCTGAGATTTATGGGAATTATTAGAACATAACTATGATAGTAACTGCTGTTTTTTTAGGTCATTGTACATGCACCTTCTCTAATGCTGTAACAGGCAGGCAGGTGTTATTGTACTCACTTCACAAATGAGAAAATTGAGATTTGGGTTAGAGACTTCACTGAAATTATGTAACTTGTGGGTAGTAAAGCTGGGATTTAAATCCCGGTCTGATTACAAAAAAAATGTAAATGTAAAAATTTTATTTATGCAATTATCCCATATGATATCTTAAAGCCTACTCTGTAATTTTTGGAATCTTTATGGCAAGCGTGCCATAGTAAGTTCACTTCATTGCAAATTACTGTCTAGAGTCCTGAGAAGTAGCTGATACTGTGAATCATGACTCATTTGGCAGTGTATATATTTTTACACGGTCCCTTTTTTCAGAAGGTGGTTTTCGTGTGTTTGGAAATTCCTTCTACAGACTATTGAAAATAAGCTCTCGGGTTTTACTGTAAACCTTATAAGGTACTTTTGTTGTTTTGTTTTGTTTTGTTTTTTTTCTAAATACCAAGGAGAAAGAGCAAGTTTGGCACATTTTAAACAATAACGTTCTGGGTAAGTTTTTTCACTTGTGTATCTAAGTAAATTTAAACAGTAAGTGGTTTGTGACTGATTACATTTGTTTTGATCTTAGAAAAGAACAATGTGAAATCAAACATCAAAGAACAGAAAGGAAGATCCCTAAATACATTCCACCTCACCTTTCTCCAGATAAGAAATGGCTTGGAACTCCTATTGAGGAGATGAGAAGAATGCCAAGGTGTGGGGTCCGGCTGCCTCCGTTGAGACCATCTGCCAATCACACAGTGACTATTCGGGTAGGTGTACCTCTTACCTATAAAGAGAGAAGATGCTAAGTCTTAATTTATTCTGGTACTTATAAATGTGAAAAACAGACCAAAGCATAGAAAGTGCTTCTCTTTTCTGCATATATAAAGTACTGAGAATTCTACAGGATGGAGAAATATAACAATAGCTTACTTAACACGGTACTTAACAAATCCATAAGATGAATCATTGTTAGCTGGTGAGAAAATTGAATTTTTCTGTATTTTTAAGAAAATTTATTGTATAAAAAAAAATTCAATTGACAATATTTATTGAGTACCCACTACATGTTAGATACTAAAATTCAAAGTTGTATGTGGTTCAATATCCTCAAATCATTCTTCAGTTTTACCCTCTTTTCTGAGCTTTAGATTCTTCTAGACATCTCCCTCACTGTCCCACAGGTATCTCAAACTCAGCATTTTTAAAACCTTATTTTAAAAAATTGTGGTTATACATATACCATCTTAACCATTTTTAAGTGTACATTTCATTGGCATTCAGTCCATTCACAGTGTTGTGCAACCATTACCACTATTCATTTTCAGAAATTTTTCATCTTCCCACACAGAAACTCTGCCTACTAAACAATAACTTCCCATACCTAACTAACCCCTGGTAACCTCTTTCACACTGTCCATGGGTTCTTTTTTTTAAAACAACAACAACAACAACAACTTTATTGAGGTATATAAAATTAACCCATTTTAAGTAGTCAATTCAGTGATATTTAGTTAATTTAAAAAAATTTTTTATTTATTTATTTTTGGCTGCGTTGGGTCTTTGTTGCTTTGCGCGGGCTTTCTCTAGTTGCAGTGAGCGGGGGCTACTATTTGTTGTGGTGCTCAGGCTTCTCATTGCAGTGGCTTCTCTTGTGGAGCACGGGCTCTAGGTGCGCGGGCTCTAGTAGTTGTGGCATGGGCTCAGTAGTTGTGGCTCGTGGGCTCTAGAGCTCAGGCTTAGTAGTTTTGGTGCACGGGTTTAGTTGCTCCGTGGCATGTGGGATCTTCCCAGACCAGGGCTCGAACCCCTGTCCCTCCTGCATTGGCAGGCGGATTCTTAACCACTGTGCCACCAGGGAAGCCCATATTTAGTTAATTTACTGACTTAGGCAACCATCACCATAATCCAATTTTAGAAGATTTCTACCACTCATAGAATAGTTGTAAATATTCATCTCTTGGGAATTCTCTGGTGGTCTGGTGGTTAGGACTCAGTGCTTTCACCGCTGTGGGCCTGGGTTTGATCCCTGGTCAGGGAACTAAGATCCTATAAGCCGTGTGGCGTGGCCAAAACAAAAAACAAAAAAAAACCCATAGAGGATTAAATATTCATCCCATTTATTAGTCAGATGCTGTATTAGATTTCACAGGGGCTACTTAAAAAAAATCCCTTTTCTTGTACAACTTAGTCTACATGTGATTAAATATTTTTATTCTTTAATAATATTCTTTAAATATTCTTTAATAATATTCTTTAAATATTTTAAAGAACTTATTAACATAGTTAGGTAGCAGCAACATTGAGCAGGGTGGTGGGGTTGGACTGAGCTCCTAAAGATGAGCAGAAACTTCTGAGGTGGAGTTAATTTAGTAAGGCAAGGGAATTCCAGACAGATACATAATCTGTATAGGAAAAGGCTGTGTAGTTAAAAACTATTTGTTTTAGAAATGAAAAACAATTGATTTGCTAGAACTGAGAATTTGGATGGGAAATGGTGGAAGAGAAGACTTGAAAAGTGGATTGGGTCCATATTGTAGAGGGCTTCAGGTGCCAGGAACTGGACTTGAGTCTATAGGAATTTGAACTCATTAAAATGTCTGTGTAGACAATAGTTGTACTGTATGTATAGCAAGATTGATCAGACCGGTATAAGTAAGGAAAACTGAAGTGAGGATACATTGGAAACGGGAAGGTAACGTAAGAGCTCAGATAAGAGATGAAAAGTAAGAAACAATAATTATCAAATTGTGCTGCATGGAAGTGGTTCAGGGGTTCTTTTGAAATTGACTCTCGTTTCTTTTCTAAATTATATTTTTAGCTATGAAAAACCTGTAGTAGAAGAACTAACAAATGCACTCAAATTTTAAAATGCTTAAATACCATATTTTAACCAGCAGATTTTACCAGGAGAACTCATTTTTATGCAGATCATAGAATCAAGGTTCTCTTGCCACTGCTGTTTGAAGAATTTCCTTAAGCATCAAAATATCAGTTAAAAAAGTTTACCATTTGCAACTATTTTGGTGTGTGAATAGGATTTTCTTAATACTGGATAAGAGATATAAATAGTAGGTTGTTGTAAGCTTTAGCTGTCATCTCTAACTCCTGATTTCAGATTTTATAGTCCTTAAAGTAACCTCATTGCTATTGATGTTAGAATATGTAAAGTTACTGTAAAAATTATATTTATTTAAATAGCTTATGTTTAAATGTAATGATTTTGTATCACATTTCTTAGGGACAAAAAGAGTTTTGCTATTTTAAAAAGTTTGAAAAAAAATAATAAATTTTTTTTTAAAAAGTTTGGAAATAACTGAGACAGGGTAATAACCATGGGAATAAAAAAGAATAAATGGTTGCATTGTTTTGAGGTAATATTGATAGGACATGGTGAATTCTTAAGTATGGGTGATAAGGGAAAAGGAGGCATTGATAATGTGTGTAAAATTAAGAAAAGACTTGGATTACTGACAAGATGTTAATGGTGAAGATTTGGAGAAAAGGTTGATCTGGGGAAGTAAGTGATATTTTGACTTTTCCTGCTTCCTGTCTCCCACTAACCACAAAGAAAACCTGAAGCATCTTATACCATCATTACCTAATCTCTGTAACTACTGTTTATTTATTGTTAGATAGCCAACGAATTTATAAAAGTTTTATTTTATTACAAAAGTCATATAGGCTCAATGGGAAAAAAAAATAAGCAACTGTTATGTGAAAGTGTATACCTCAGAAAACCCAAGTGTCTCTCACTCCTATTCCCAGAGTTTAACAGTTTGGTGTATTTTCTTCTAGATTCTTTTTCCTGAATATGGTAATATGATATATGTATAATTAATAGTTATTAAATAGACAGTCCTTAATTACATTTCTAAGATGCCAGATATTAATAGTTAAAGAATTTGAAGTAATAAAGTAAAGCTGATATTTAGCGTTAGAAATGTAAGGCAATCTGAAATTGCATGGACATAATAGTCAGTGCTTGATTATCTGTAAACGCACACATGCACACACACATTCACACACCAACATGTACACACATAAGGCAAACACATGTAGGTGCATGCACTACACACATGCACACACACATTTAGACAGACATCCAAAGCATATCCTTATATATATGTTCCCCTATGTGTGAACCTTTATTGATACCTGTTTTTGTCACCTCAGATTACATGGAACATCTTTACAGAATCACTTTTGGGATCCTCATATGGAGGTGAAAATACTTTTGGCATGATTGGTGACTCAGCCACTTTTGACCATTCTTTATTCTTTCCTCGGGATATTCTCATCCTTTGGATTCCTTGACAACATATAATCGTGATTTTCTTCCTACCTCCTTAAGCCACTTCTTATGTTCCTTTTAGCTTTTTTCTATATGTGGCCCTTAAACGTCGTTGGAGTTCCCCAAAGCTTTTTCATAGGTCCTCTTCTTCTCTCTTGGGGTAGTCTTACACACACTCATGGTTTTAATGGTTATCTATATAAATGGCCTATAAATTTATTTATCTTGGGTTGCAGACTTTTAATGAAGTTGCCTATTTGACAGCAGCTTTCCCTTTTCAAGGCTGTTCCGTTTTCTTGTTTCTTCCGCCTTTTCCTACTTCTTTTTATCCTTTGGAGTTGAGCTCAATTGCTGCTTCCTCGAAGCCTTCCCTAAGCTTACCAGATAAGTTAAAATTGTCTAGAAAGGTTCTTATGACACTATGAACCTCTCATTTATAGCATCTTACAGTTGAAATTTTATATTTATATATGTGATTATTTGATGATCTACAGTAAAATTCTGATTTATGCTATAGCATGGATGAACCTTGAAAACATTATGCTAAGTGGGAGGCTGGGCACAAAAGGTCCCATTTTGTATGATTCCATTTATATGAAATGTCCAGATTAGGCAAAATGTAAAGCTATTTTGTTGTAAAGTATCTTTTTCCTCAAACATTTACTTAATGCTTATTATAGGTAGCATGTGTATATATATGCATGCATATACACACATACATGCATATACATATATGTGTATATTTACATATACAGTTGACCCTTGAACAACGCGAGGGTTAGGGGTCCCGACCCTCTGGACAGTCCAAAATCCAAGTATAACTTTATAGTTGGCCCTCTATATCCGACGTTCCACATCCACACATTCAATCAACTGCTAATTGTGTGGTACTGTAGTACGTATTCATTGAAAAAGATCGTTGTATAAGTTGACCCATGCAGTTCAAACCCGTGTTGTTCAAGGGTCAACTGTATGTATGTAAACACTTATACGTATTAGAAACACACATGTCAGGCTCTGTTGTAAATATTCAAAATACAAAGTTAATAAAATTACTATTCTCAAGAAGTTTAGAGTCTAGTGGGGGAAGGGAAAAAAGTGTGCTCTAGTATGATAATGATCTAATAAAATAAGAAAGAATACACTTACTGCCTATTAGAAAGTTTTTAAAGACTTCTTAGAGGACATGAAGATTGAGCTGAGTCTTGAAGGTCAGAATAGATGTTTACCCAGATAGTGTTTGCAGTAAGAGAGAATGTTAAAAACTGGAATCATTAGAATCAAAGTATAGGCAGAGGGGAGCCATTATAGGATTAGAAGCTTGGGGATACTTTAGAAACATACTGTTATTCCCAAGTGGGGATAAGGGTTTTATGGGGGATGAATATGTCTGGGAGTAGTTGGAGTTAGGGAGAGGGATAGAAAGCTGTTACCAGAAATTCAGGCAATGAATCATGAGGACCAGGGGTGGTGGTGGGGGCTGGATGGGATGAAGACAGAATGCCCAGGACATGGTGACTTGGAAACTGATTAACTGGAGGTAAGGAGTGGGAACAACTGAAAAAGACATGAGATTTCTTGCCTAGGAGCTGGTCTGTATTTTATAACATTTGCTTTGGCTGCTTTCTTTGGATTACTTTGTACAGGAGATACGCCTAGTTTTTATGCACTTACAGTTTTCTTGTATTTCAGGTAGATCTTTTGCGAGCAGGAGACGTTCCTAAACCTTTCCCAACACATTTTAAAGATTTGTGGGACAATAAGCATGTTAAGATGCCTTGTTCAGAACAAAACTTGTACCCGGTGGAAGATGAGGTAAGAACAAAACTGAACAGAACTGATGTTCTTTTAGTCTCTGAAAGGTATTTTAATACTTGCTATTTGACTTCTGATTCTACTATGTAAAAGAACTTGGAATAGTTTCCTCATGTTTTTCTTTTCCTTAAAGAATGGTGAGCGAACTGCAGGGAGCCGGTGGGAGCTCATTCAGACTGCACTTCTCAACAAATTCAGTCGACCCCAAAACCTGAAGGTGTGTTCTTTTGCTATTCTTGTCTCTTACATGTAGTTCTTAGAGGTGGGCCCTGGTGTCCTCCCTCAGAGACATTTTTTGGTCTTTAATAGACCTCAGGTAACAGCATTATTTATATGGTAAGTGCTTGCTTCCTGAGGAACTCTCTTTAGAGACATTCTTGGTTTACACTCCATCACTAGGAAATGAGTAGAATTGAGAGTTGTAAATGACTTGCCTGGAGCCACACAATAATTTGGAGAACCAGGAATAAGACTTCTGTTTCTTGATTGCCCATCCAGTTTCCTTTGGTCCTGGCTTCTCTTTTATTTTTGTTTTGGAATTATCATACTTCTGAAATGTCTTTAAAAGTAAATCAGGGAAGAATTATGACTTCAGCATTGTTTGCCCGAAGGGTAGCTGAATTTCCTGATGATTAAAGTATACATTAAGCATTCTACTTTTTATTGCTCTTAATATAGCTTCTAGCAGTTTCATAATTTATTAATCTTATATTTTGGCAATAATTCAATTTTTGATTTAAAAAATATTTCGTTCAAGATTGTAAGGACAACCATTAGATAGTTTTTTCTAATATTTAAAGTATGAGTGAGAGTATATGTTTATTTTTGGCACTATAGCCTTATATAAACTTTTAAAGTTTTTGTAGCTATAAACAGATTTTTTTATACTTCTGTGAAAATGGGTTTCATTTTCTTTGAGAGACTTAATTTGTTGTGTACAGTTTCTCAGGTTTAATACTGTTTTTTTCATTTATTTATTGTTAACGAGTCCAAGCTCACTCTGCTCGCCTTATGACAGGCAAATAAATCAGGAGACAGGTGTTGAGGCAAGGAATATAACTTTATTTGGAATTATTCGGAAAGCCGGCAGACCAAGACGATGGCAGACTAATGTCTCCAAAAAAACCATCTTTTGGGGGTTTGGATGTCAGTTTCTTTTATAGAACAGAGAGGGGGAGATGAGGAAGTAAAGTAAAAAGGCCATAAGTTTTGCAAATATCCCCTGGAATGGCCAGCCTCGGGGAGGAGGCGTGTTAATTTCTCCTTTCTTGCAGACATTCACAGGTGGACAGGGTCAGGATGCTTACCTGAGCAAAGGCACTTTGGTTTGACATTCAGGCAGAGGGGTACGGTTCCCTGAGCCAGCCATTATGGATAGACAGTATCCTTTTAGTGAACAAAAGCAGCTGGAAAGCAAAGGTTAAAGTAAAAGAAACAGATCCAACAGGTAGTCAGATTTGGCTCTTCCTTGTTACATACTTAAAAGTTATTCTTAAACTTTCTATACCTTTCCTGTAGCTCCTTTTTTGTTCCTTAGCTCTTTTTTTCCTTAACATGAAAAACAGTGATAAGTTGTACCATAATATAGTTTGAAAATTTTACTTCTTAGGGACAGTGTTTCTCAATCTTGTAATTACTTCTTTTAAATGGGAGGAATTCTCAGGGTCTGCCAGACTTTACTTGTTGTTAATATTTTAATTACATATGTACACACGTAAAGCTGAATATAAACTCTTTATAGTATCCAGCTATATCAATTTGATGTTTTTCCATTTTAAGCATTATGACCCATGATTTGAGTTGTGTTCATTATCACAGTCAAAACAATCTGTAATCAGCATTTCCTTTTTGCACAGATTTTTAAACACTGATCTGAGCCTTAAAATATTATGCTGAGAAACTTAAAAAAAGTACTGTATAAAGAAAACATTCTTTGTTTTGTATTTACTACTTTTTTTTTTTTTAACCAATCACAAACAGTTGGTGGATGTTGGTAGAGGCAAAAATGGGATCCGTATGCAGAACATCAGCTTGCGAATAAGTATGATGGTGACCACTTTGGTCCAGGTTTTTATGACTTTGGCATTCCTATACTGCAGTGCATCTTAGGATCACTCTCTCTCTCCACCATTTTTATGTATTTGAAGTACCATCTTTCATTTCTACAGTGTGTTGTTTTTTGGCCTTTGTATTCATTCCAAAACCACAATTATATACTCATAAACACAAGCAGGCCAATCAAGAATACTATCCAGACTCCATTTGAAAAACACTGACTTAGGGCCTTTATGGCCTTACAAACAGGATTATTTAAGAATTTACATATTTTTTCTTTAAACACAAATGCAGAATAATCATAGTGTTCTAAATTACATTGCTGCTTGCCTCTGTTAGCAATTCCTTAGTGCGCCATGATTACCTTAGGAAGGGGTAATTGCTTTAATCTGAATTTCCCTTTCTTGTTTATTTTATGGTAGATTCAACAGAACAGTAATTTGTAAAGAATGGACTTCTTTCTGCTTTAACTCATTGTGCTTATTATGAATTATGAATGAAAAAAAGTCACTCAGCTAAGAATACTGTATAGAGTAGCATCCAGCTTTTCTGGTGATAGGAGATCTCATGGTGGACTACTTCTAAGACTTGAAGACTGAAGTAAAAGTAAATATTAGTTAGGAGTTAATGCTAATTACACAACTCCATTAAAGAATTAGAGCATAAATGCTATTTAGAATGTTTTTCCTTACCAACTTTGAGGAATAACTTACATATAAGAAAGTGCATCCTTTTAAAGAATGTAATTTGATGAGGTTTGACATTTGCATATACACTTGAAGCCCCCACTACAGTAAAGATACAGAATATTCCTGTCCCCTGCAAAGATTCTTCTTACTTATTTGCAGTCAGTTTCCTCTTTCTGTACTGGCCCCAGGCAACTATTGATCTGCTTCTTCTTTTTCCTTTTTTTTTAAACTATAGATCGGTTTACATTTTATATGAATGGAATCATGTATTATGTATGCTAGTGTGTCTGGCTTCTTGCACTTCGGTGAAGATCTTTGAGATTCATCCGTGTTGTTGAATGTATCAGTAGCTTTTTCCAGTATAAGCGTTGTTTGTCCATTCACCTATTGATAGACATTGCTATTTTTTTAATAAATTTATTTATTTTTGGCTGCGTTGGGTCTTCGTTGCTGCACGCGGGCTTTCTCTAGTTGCGGCGAGTGGGGGCTACTCTTTCTTGCGGTGCATGGGCTTCTCATTGCGGTGGCTTCTCATGTTGCAGAGCACAGGCTCTAGGTGCGCGGGCTTCAGTAGTTGTGGCACGTGGGCTCATTAGTTGTGGCTCGCAGGCTCTAGAGCGCAGGCTCAGTAGTTGTGGTGCGTGGGATTAGTTGCTCTGCAGCATGTGGGATCTTCCCAGACCAGGGCTTGAACCCGTGCCCCCTGCATTGGCAGGCGGATTCTCAACCACTGCGCCACCAGGGAAGCCCCGGAACTTGGGTATCTTCTTATTCCAAGTAGATAAAAGACATTTTGTTGGCTCATTATTTAACCTAGCTGCTTGGTAATAATTTATGTGGCATGAAGTATTTTTCAGGAAGCTCTTTGGCAGAGTGTTAATTTTTAAAAACTTCATCAATTCTGAGGAAATTTGGAAGGTTTATAGTCAGACTTAATATGCCTTCAGTAAAAAAAATTGGGGGTTGTATATTACAGTCATAAATGGTTTTTTATAAATTCTGTGTATTTATTACTTTAGTAATTTAATATATTATAAAAGATAATCAAAATAGAAATTTTAAAGGATGAGATAAAATATAATTGTAAATAATTGTTCTTTTTGCATAACTAAGGATTGTCGTATGCCTACCCCACTCTGGTAACTAGGAAGTACTGCCTGTTCAGACAGTTGAAAATTACACCAGTAGATGGCGCACTAGTCTAACTTTTTACAAAAATGCGTAATTTACATGGACTAATGGGGAAAGATAACCATTTTTATGTAGCTTATAAAAATAGCTAATAGTAAAGGAGAAAAGACCATTTTAGGCTTTAAGCTAATGTTTCTCAGTCATTTTTTCATTATTGCTCTCTTCCCCAGGGAGCCTTTTTAGATATTTTTTCCTAATTTACTCTCCTAATGAAATCTTAATGCTGATGCACAGTGTATCTGTACATGTAGTGTGACTCTGTTGAAGACCAAAAGTCACTATAATATTTACTTTTTTTATCCCTAAGATCCAACTTTTGTCCACTTGAATTATATTGCCTCTGTTTAGAGAGCATGTTTTAGAGTAATTATGTTTTCCCCCCTGTTACTTGAGCTTTCTAATCTCATTTTTCTTATGTGAATAGTAAATTAGTATGCGCTCTTTTTGTTCATAGTTACTGACGTGGAGTAGCTAATGGTAGGAGAACCTTGCCCAACATTAAGAAATATACTGGAAATAGTTCATAAAGGAGACAGGCTGTTCATAGGTAATTCACTTTACTATATCATGACATTTTGTTTATGCTTTTTCCATAGGATGCTATTCTGAAATACAATGTGGCATATTCTAAGAAATGGGACTTTACAGCTTTGGTTGATTTCTGGGATAAGGTAGAAGTATGCTTATTTCTTAAACTATGAAACTAATATGACAACTCTAATGGAAAAGTTTGAGAAAAATATGCATAATTCTGTCATACTAACACCATTATCATCTTTTATTTTTGTGAGAAATATTTCCTGCTATTTTATATGCAGCTAATTTTGAATTTTGCTTTAGTCTCTCATGATAAGCATTTTCTGTTGTATTGTTGTACCATTTTCAGTATTATAAAATGGCTGCATAGTATTTCATGTCTAGATTTTGATAATTTAATGATTCCCATATTCTCAGACATCTAGGTTGCATAAGTTTTACTCCCTTCTCAATTATACTGTAGTAACATCTTTATCTATGTATGTGAATAAATACATGTATATGTTTTCCCAAATTTAATATTGTTTCTTTAGGTGATTCCCAGAAGTTAAATGGCTAGGTGAAAAGGCACAAAACTTTTATGGCCCTGGATTTATGCTGTAAAATCATTTTTCCTCAGGGGACTGTATCAGTTTAGTATGCTATCAGCAATGGGTAAGAATACCACTTTGATAGTACTGTTAGAAGAATAGGTATCATCCATGAAAAACTGGCAGTATACCTTTAAAAAAAACCATTTTATCTTGATATAATGATAGATTCACAAGAAATTGTAAAGAAATGTACAGGGAAGGTCCCATCACACTTCATCCTACCTTCCCAAATGTTGATTGCTTAAATAAGTATAATACAATATCTAAACTAGAAAACTGACATGAGACCTTATTTAGATTTTACCAGTTATACCTGTACTCATTTGTGTATGTAGTTATGTAACTGTATCTTCATGTAACCACCACCACAGTCAAGATACAGAACTGTTCCATCACCACAGTGTTCACTGGTGCTGCCCATTATAGCCACACCAACTCCTTCCTAACTTCTGGCAACCACTAATCTGTTATCCCTGTGCATAATTTTGTTACTTCAGAAAGGTTATAGTTTGTAACCTTTTCACATTGCCTTTTGGTTCCTTTTTATTGCTGAGTAGTGTTCTGTGAGATTGATGTATCATAATTTAACTGTAAATGCATTTCAGGACATTTGAGTTGTTTCTAGTTTTTAACTGTTAGAACTAAAGCTGCTGTGAACTTTTGTATACAGTTTTTTGCATAAACATAAGTTTTTATTTTTCTGGGGTAAATCCCCAAGAGTGTGATTGTTGAATTGTTTGATAAATGTATTTTTAGTTTTAGAAGAAACTGCCAGTATACTTTTGCTAGGTTAGTAAGCCTTCCCAAAGACATACTTTCATATACAATCTGTTTAAAAGTTTTTTTATAATTTGATTTTTCTGCCCACAGTTTAATTATCCATGTTATATATGCTTCATTTACTAATACTAGAAACTGAAAGTAATTTTTGAAATGGAAACATTTTGAATTGAAATATTTTCAATATTACACAACTTTAACTTACCTAATAGAGAATAATTATTGAACTTTAAACATGTCCTATGTTTTTTTTAATTGTGGCCTTTCCCTCTCTGGTCTTTTTTTCAGATAAATAACTGTGAGGTAAATAAGACAATAATTATTATTCCTATCGTAAATGAGTAGTTATGATTTAGAAATGAACTTTCTTGGCCAAAGTGACATAGTTTGTCCCTGGTAGGACAGTGTAACCCAGTCAGTGTTCTTTCCACTATTGCCTGCGATCACAGTCTGATGTCCCTCTGCACACACCCTCCCCTCCTACTTGCTGCTCATTTTCTCCGTAATGAGACTGATAAGCCCCCTTCCTCCACTTTTCTGTATTGAAGTTCTGTCTCCCAAGACTAACATTTTCCTGTCTACTCGCTCCAAAATGAGATGTCACCTTTCTTTGAATTTCCATGACAAATTTTAAAATTTATCTTGTGGCACTCCCTCTCTTTGCTTTGCTTTATTCTAGATGAAATGTTGACATCCTCTGGTATGTCAAAAGTTTCTTGGGGCAGAGACTGTATCTTTCTTAGCTTTGTGTTTCGTGTAGCATCTATACAATGTCTTATTTATCGTGTGTGCTCTGTAAGTAGTTATGGACTGGATTTCAATAGGAGATCAGGCAGTCATATTGGTTTTCATGGTTACCAAGGTCATGAGAATATTATCTAGAAGTAACGGTTTGAGTTAATGAAAACTGATGTTTCTGATTCCTTCTCATTCCCTGCCCACGCACACAACACATCTAAATTAGACTCTTCCTTCTCTGAGCAGTTTTAGCTAGTGATGTTCCAGTGTTCTTGTTACTTCATTTCCTGTGACATTACTGAAGATCAGTCTGTCCTCTAGGATTGTTGGTGGTAATCCAGAAGAAAGTGGTTGTTTAATTACGTGGTCAGGAATCAAACATTAAGATTATTGTGAACCCTTATTTTTGAGTTACAAATAAGGAAGAACCTGAAAATGTGAAAATGAAGTTGACAGTGTTATGAATAACACCACCACTCCCTTTTTTCCAGTAGTGTTTTGATTATTTCACAAAGTATCCATGAGGCAGCATGATATAAGCAGTGGCTCTCAGATTTATTGTGTATCTGAATCCTGGAGGGCTTATTAAAAAGGTAGCTGCCTACCATCCTCTCCAAGTTTTCTGATTCAGTGGGTCTGGGATGAGACCTGAGAGTTTGCATTTCTAATAGTTTCCTAGGTGGTGCTGCTGTTGGTTCAGGGACCATGCCTTGAGAACTGCTGGGGGAAAAAAGAGCATAGAATTAGAAATGAGTATTATGTTTCTTAGTCTCAAAGCTTTGTAACTTTGGGTAAGCCACATGACCTCAGCCTTAGTTTCCTCATTTGTGAAATTGACAAAATAACCACTTTATCCATCTTGATGACACGTTTTAAAGATCTAGCTAACTAATGTATCTGAAATCACTTTTAAAATTCTGGAATGATAATCAAATATGTTGTTACTTTCTTACCTCTGTAAACAGTTTGTTTTGCCTCTTTTCAAAAAAAGTTTTTTCTGTCATTAACATATCTGAATTGTAGATATGTTGTAAAAATATAAGAAGTAAGACAATAAAAATTACTTGTGCTTTGGCTACCCCCAAACAATCACCTGAAACAACAATCTGTTTCAGGGCTTTGTATTCTCTTCTGGTTAATTTGTCTATTACTGCAGTAGTGCCACAATGTCTTAATGGCTATAGCTTCATAATAATTCTTGATATCTGGTAAAACGAGCCTCTCCTCATCAGTCTTCTTTCTCACAAGTGTACTGGCTTTTCTTTATTCTTTCATGTAAATTTCAGAATCAGCCTGTTGGTGTCCATAAAAATCCTGTTGGATTCTTGAGTAGAATTGCATTAAATATGCAGATAAATTGGAAAAGATTTTACATCTACATAATACTATATATTCCTCTCCATAAGGTTGGTATGGGTCTTCATTTATTTAGGGTTTTCTTAGATCAGACAGGACCTTGTATTCCAATATTTCTCTTGCTTGCTGTCGTGAAAGCCCTCATCATCTGTTTCTCCATAGCATAACATGAGCTATGCCCCATAATTATACATTCCTGTATATTGTCTTAATTCAGTGTCTGCTCAATTGCTTAGTTACTCTTAGGTTCCCTGGCATTTAACCCATTTGTGTTTGATTGCTGGCAGAGCCAAGGCGCACCCACTGTCTTGGCCCTTGCCATATGCTTTAGGGAAAGATATGAGATTTGAACATAAAAGCACTTTGTCCCTTGCCTGATGGGAGCTGTTGGGAAGTTCTTTAGCTTTTCTGAGCCTCAGTTTTCTTCCCATAAAATGGGATTAACAATAGCTACCTTGGAGTATGATGTTCTGATAAGTGGCTTCTTGTGGTTCTTTCTCTCAAGACTCCAAACAGGAGGGAACAGGAGCAACCCAGACAGGCCTTGTTCCATCTGTCCATCAGCAGTAGCCATAGGGAAAGAGCTGGAGAGAAGGTGTATTAGTCAGGGAAACAGCACCAATGGGAGAGAGAGATATCTGTATATATCTATCATCTATATATATATGGGGGAGAGAGAAAGAGAGGAAGATTTTAAGGAGGAATTGGTTCACACAGTTATGGGGGCTGGCAGATCTAAAATCTGCAGGGTGGGCTGGCAGACTGGAGACCCAGGGATGAGCTGATGTTGCAGATGATGTCCAAAGGCAGCCTGCTGGCAGAATTCTCTCTTGCTGAGGTAGGTCAGCCTTTCATTCTGTCCAGGCCTTCAACTGATTGGATGAGGCCCATCCACATTATGGAGGGCAGTCTGCCTTACTAAGAGTCCGTTGATTTAAATGTAAATCTCATCCAAAAACACCCTCACAGAAACATCCAGGAGAATGTCTGATCAAATATCTGGCCACTGTGGCCCAGCCAGGTTGAAACAAAATGAACCATCACACAGGGGCTTTGGAAATCTCTTTCTTGTAGCACTTCTCTCTCTTCTTCTGTAATTACATTGTTTGAACATACGTAAACATCAGGAAGATTTGCAGTGTGCCTCCACGTCCATTCCACAGAGACAGGATTCTAGAGTGGTTAGGAGCACAGATAGGTGTCCACATGGCCTGGGTTTGGATCCTGGGTGGGTAACCTGAGGCATCCTCTCAGTGCATCAGTTTCCCCATTGGGAAATGGGGGTAAATAGTACATTTCCCTCACAGAGTTGTAGTGAGGGTTAAATGATGTAATGTATGCAAAGCATAGAGCAGTGCCTGACACCTGGCCATTTTTATCACTCACCTTCTAGAGTTAATGCATTTAAACATCATGATATGATATGTTTCTGCCAAAAATTTTAATGAAAAATACTATAATAGTTAAAACCTCCTTTGTTTCTCTCTGCAAGTTCTTTTCCCTTTCTCCTTCATTGAAGGCAGCATTGTCCTAAGTGTGGCATCTGATTTGGCAGTTACTGTTTTCTACATTTTAACTACATATCCATTAACAAGAGATAGCAGTGTTTTCTGCATTTCAAATGATGGAATATGGTATCATAGTGTACATAATATTCTGTAACTTGC